GAGAGAGAGAGAGAGAGAGAGAGAGAGAGAGAGAGAGAGAGAGAGAGAGAGAGAGAGAGAGAGAGAGAGAGAGTCGCTTTCTTAGCCTTTTTCTTATGAAGTTATCGGTCGTGAAATCGGCAGACTTAACAGTCAATCTTCCTGCTCAGTGGCAATCAATGGCAATGGTGATCAGGGTTTCCATCAGCCTGGGTAGAAGGAAGCGCGGTGTTCAGCATGTAAAATTTTGGATGTGTCCGTGGAAAAAGGAACCGGACTGAAGCTCCCCAGAATAGAATGGATCCAACATCCAACACCATAACGGCCGCTTCTTAATACAACTCTGAATCACCTGTGGGCAACAAGTCTGTTCGATGATATTATATCTCCAGGCCAACCCCCCTTTTAGGCTTTTTCGGAGTTTTCCTACTTAAAAACCACCGGTTAATGAGAACCTAAGTAGTGCTCTTACCGGTATACGCAATAAGAACATTTTAATGCGGGCCTGCATCAGTAGCAAAAGCTGCAGGCCACTCTGAAAAGGCACAGGAAAGTAGCTCCGTCAACGTAGGCGCATGTGAACTGGTGGTTTTAGAAAGAATAATAAGAATTAAAAAAAAGAGGAAAAAGAATAACAACAACACTACGACTCAAGAAAAAGAGGGAAAAAGAAACAACACCACTGTAACTAAGTGCTATAGGGAATGGAACACAGTTCTACTCACTTGTACATAAGTAGATAAAGATGTAATAGTACATAGTCCTACTCACTTGTACATGGTACATAATACATACTGATAGTGCATAGTACATACTACATAGTACATAGTAGATAGTACATAGAACATAGTCGATAGTACATATGTTCTATATACGATAGTAGAACATAGTACATACTGATATAATAAATTCCTACCGCGGCAGCAGAGTATGTTCTATGTCCTATGTCCTATCTACTATGTACTATGTACTATGTACTATGTACTATGCCTACTATGTACTATGTACTATGTACTATGTACTATGTACTATGCCTACAGCGGCAGCACAGTACAATGCCTGGCCCTCCATCTTCTCAGCAACTAAGGAGGGGAAGGGGAGGGGGTGGGGGGGTGGGGGTGAGGACAGTTGAAGTTTTCAAAAGCGAAAAAAAAAAAGATAAAACAAAACAGTTACAAAACACCCTGTTTTTTTTGTTGTTTGTTTCTTTTTTCGTCCCGCATGAGCGTCAACTTACTGTTCCAATGAATGGCAGTCCATCTTCGTCAACGAAATTCGCATCGTTCTTGCTTCTAGCAGCATAAGCTTTCCCACCTCGAGAGTCCGCTCTCCCAAACACATTGTTAATCCCGTCTCCCTTGGCATGGAGCGATGTCAGATCAATTTGCTCTGTCTACAATTTGACAAAAAACAGGCAAGTGCACACCCACATTTTTCCACATTTGAACCTTATTTTATTAGTTAATTAACAAAGTCGGGGCCTCGGGGCCGAGAAGAGAACTCCACACTACTCTCACAACTCGCAAGTGTTTTATTCCTCCTCCCCCTCCTCCCGCCCCCCCCTGGCCTTCTCCCCCCCCCCCCCCCTCCCCCCCTCCCCCCCTCCTCGACTTGTCGCCACCGTTGACTATGTTACTGACTTGTCAGGCTATGTTTCCCACAGTTTCCGACTTCTCAGCTATTTTTTTACCCAACATAAACAACATATCTAATTGAAATTATTGAATTGAAAATTTGAAATTTGAATCTAGTTATTAAAGCAAGACTGGACAGAACGACAACGAAAGAAAGA